GTACATACCCTTTCCAAGGATTAACATTTCCACGTATAAAATAAATAAAATATCCAAAAACGTTTACCTCTAAATTATCTATTATATTATAAATGTCACCAACGAATTCAGACCGCAAACATTAAAAATAGTTACAAATACAGTCAAAAGTCGTTAATCCGGACTCGTCGGGACTTCGGCGGTTCCGGATTATCGATTTTTCCGGATTATAGATCATCAGTTTAAATCTAGTAAAATGGCATGCAGAAATTATAAAATTAAAAATATGAAACCGTAATTTACGAAATTATAAATAAAGAACAATTATGATCTAAAGGGTATCAAAATTTACAAAAAAAAAAGCTTAATATTATTTGTTTACTTTATTAAACATTTCAATGTAAGTTGTTTAAGTTGCTTCGTTTTTTATGTGATAATACATTCTCTTTAATTCTATAACAGACATAATTTCTTGTTCAGTTACAAAGTTCCGCTGTTCAAGTCCTATAATTGTTGCTGTGTCGAGAATACCGACTAATTTGTCAATCGAAATTTTTTGTTTCAATAACCTCTGTAACTTTCTTCGCTATCGGAAGCGAATTATAATGACGAGGCATTTGATTTAAATCATATCAAAGACCGAGTACATCGAGATGAAATACTACATTGAGTAAGCAATTATAAGCCAAATAAAATAAAAACATCTGCCCTTAAGATAAGGATAGTGCTGACAGATCAACTTCCAATTCATTGCACACCGCTGCGGCGTTAAAGATAAACAAAGTTTAGATAAACAAAGGATATGCCTTTATCCATTTTTTGCAGCAATTCCACTTTTTGTTTAATGGACTCCAAAAGATACTTTCGCTTTGTATATCCTTTACATATTAGTAAATATATATTGGAAATTCTATTTGATATAATCGAGAGTTCAAGCTTACTTTTATAAAATTGCTCTAACAGTCTCCAAAAAATAATAATCCGGATCCAATTCGAAGATTAAGGAACAACGCAATCTGCAACATTAACTGAAATAGATAATTAGATAATTTTAGCTTAGCTTATCCCGTCCGTTATACATTAAAGGCGCTTTCGTAAACGTATTTTGCGCACACGCACACGCAAATTCGCAGCGGTAAAGCTCTTATGCGCATGCGTCAATGCGACGCATGCACAGAAAGTTTGTAGCTTTGAGGTTCGGATTATGGGTGTCCGAATTAACGACTTTTGACTGTACTTAGTGTCAAATATTTAAATTATTTCCATACACGTTTACTTCAACTGAAACATATACCAAATTGCTACAAACATAAAATTCACAAAATAACTATCATTTAATTAAAATATCACTAAACCATGTACACGTTTACTTATTTTTACTTAAAAAAACATCCCAGAATTGCACAAAAATGGCATTGCGCACACTCTTCACTATATCCATGTACACTGCTTTTTTGTCATAAATTAGAAAAATTTCACAAAAATGCATGAAAATTTTGTGAATCTTTAAATCCGGTAAAAAGAACATATATGAAATTACCGGATCGCGAAAAAGTATATACCCTTTCCAAGGATGAACATTTCCACGTATAAAATAAATAAAATATCCAAAAACTTTTACCTCTAAATTATCTATTATATTATAAATGTCACCAACGAATTTATACCGCAAACATTAAAAATGGTTACAAATACTTAGTGTCAAATATTTAAATTATTTCCATGCACGTTTAATTCAACTGAAACGTATACCAAATTGCTACAAACATAAAATTCAAAAAATAACTATCATTTAATTAAAATATAACTAAACCATGTACATGTCGACTTATTTTTACTTAAAAAAAATATCCCAGAATTGCACAAAAATGGCATTGCGCACACTCTTCACTATATCCATGTACACTGTTTTTGTCTCATAAATTAGAAAAATTTCACGAAAATGCATGAAAATACTCAACGTATACTACTCAAACGTATTCCAAAATACTACAAAACATATAACTCACAAAATCACGATCATTAAATTAAATATAATTAAATTAAAAACACTACTTAAAATATAAATAAGCACATACATTAAATTAATAAAAATTAGATTACAATCCTAATTACTTTTTTTAAACTTAATCATTGCTAATAACAATTTTCCAATAATACCATATTAATTTACTTACTAATTACATTTAGAACAATGCATAAAAATATAAAAATAATATCCTCAAATGATTAATTAAAAATACTAACTTACGTAATCTTCTTCAGAATCTTCATTACGTGGCACGCACACTTCCCTACAGAAAGAATTCCAATCGGCTGCAGTACTACTGCTAATTTCTAAATCCGAAATCCAGTAGTCAACTGGCAGTCTATTCACCCAGTAATAAGAAATTAATGAAATTTCACCCATACTCAAACTACTTTCAGCAAACCACATACACTTCCTTACACTCCATTTCACAAAATGTCCATTTTCACCAGATTTCTTGCACCGCCATTCACACATTCTCATTTCACACAATCTCATTTCATTCCCACATTTTGGACATTCATACTTATCCACAATTAAACCTACACTCATACACCATTCAACCAATTCTTTTGAATTATCAGATAAACGCATTAAAAATTTAGAATTCACTTTACATAGCGCCATGCAATCCGAAAATTAATCAACACTATTTCACACAACACACAATGAAGCTTAATACAAAATAATATAGTACTACAGATATTTTTCCAAATTTTTACCCCCTTTTCCGATTAAAGAACTGTAATTCGTCCATTAATGTCACATGACATATCTCATGATCTCTCATTTCCCTCACACAAAATAATGCGTAATCGGAACTGAGGACTTCTCACATTATTACCAAAATCCTAGGTAGTAACCTTTATCGCCTCCAAAATGTCACCAAACTACTTGTTACCATATTCCAAAGATCAGCCATATTGTCTTATGCTTAATATAGTATTCTTTTCTGTGCTAACTTGAATTTAACACAAATTATTTCGATCCGTTAGGTAGTTTTTAAGTATTTTCACTATCCCTTAAATGTTTGCTTTTATGCAAAATTTTACGGTCGCATAAGAAAAATCACGGCGCAAGCCTGGAAAACCAATCTTTCAATTCGAAATATACAGTGTCTCACAAAAGTGATGGGACACTTGTGCTTTACAAAAGGAAACTGTAATAAAATAAATTTAAAAAAAAACATGTAAAAATTTTTTGTGGGTGTGTTTCATACTTAAATTTAGTAACAATTATTACATAACATACATTTTCTCAAAATATTAAAATATTAATTTAATAAAAATACAATTGTTTAGAACGGAGCAAAAAATGGCTCACATAAGTGATGGGACACCATTAGATACTACTACGTACTACAATAAAAATATTTTTGGGGGTTTTATTTTTACTCTCAAAAGCAATTGGCAATAATTTATAAAATCGTCTGCAGTATTTCTCTCCAGTTTGTTTTGGAAAATTTTGTGTTTTTTTTAGCTCTGTGCAGCCATGAATGCTAAACGAAAAGAAACTTTGCCTGAAATTCGAAAATTAGTTATTAATTTGCATATTGAACGTGGAAAATCTATTAGAGAAACTGCTGAAACAGTTAACTTGAGTCATTCAACAGTTTTCAATATCATTAAACTATATAAAAAGAATCATATGATTCAGGATAAAAGAAGACCTGGCCGACCATCAAAGCTATCCAATGGAATAAAGCGAATTATCGTTCGAAATATTAAAAAAAATCCAAGAATGAGTGCTCCTAAAGTTGCTGCTGATTTACAAGCATTATATGGAGTAATTGTTAATCCTGAGACTATTAGAAGAGTAATTCGATCTGATCTGGATATCACGGTAGAGCAGCCAGGAAAAAATTCTTCGTAAGTGAAAAGAATAGAAAACTCAGACTGGCTTTCGCAAAATCCAACATAAATAAGAATTCTGATTACTGGAATGAAGTTATATTTGCTGATGAGAGTAAATTTAATATATTTGGTTCTGACGGTAGAATCTTGGTGTGGAGAAAACCCAGGGAAGAATTTCGCAAACAGAACTTGGTGCCAACAGTAAAACATGGTGGAGGAGGAGTTATGGTATGGGGGTGTATGTCGTCCGCTGGAGTTGGTAATCTGTTTTTATTGACAGTATAATGGATCAGTACAAGTATATTGACATTTTAAATCAAAATTTGAAATCTTCAGCACGAAAATTGAACCTTCATAACGATTTTAAATTCTACCAGGACAATGACCCCAAGCACACTGCTTTGAACGTTAGACTCTGGCTGCTGTATAACTGTCCTGAAATAATAAAAACACCACCACAATCTCCAGACTTAAATCCCATAGAGAATATTTGGCAAGAATTGGAATCAAGAATTCGCAAACACACCATTTCTTCAAAACAACAATTAAAATCGGTGCTTCAAGAAGAATGGGGTAAAATCACTCCAGAAATCAAAAAAAATTAGTCGAATCCATCCCAAGAAGATTAAATCATGTTTTAAAAGTAAAAGGAAATCCAACAAAATATTAAAACCTTTTAAAAAGTAAAATTTTTGGATAAATATTTGATGGAAAAGTAAGTGTCCCATCACTTATGTGAGCCATTTTTTGCTCCGTTCTAAACAATTGTATTTTATTAAGTTAATATTTTAATATTTTTAGAAAATGTATGTTATGTAATAATTGTTACTAAATTTAAGTATGAAAACACACCCACAAAAAATTTTACATGTTTTTTTAATTTATTTTACTACAGTTTCCTTTTGTAAAGCACAAGTGTCCCATCACTTTTGTGACACACGATAAAAACAATTTTTGTTATAAATTGTTGGTTGTATTATTTTACGTTCATAAAAAGTTGGTATTACTACCATAATCGAAGAATTAAAATATATAATACATAGTATATCTATTTAAAAAGCTTCCCATTTTTTATAGATTCGCTCTCTATTATACCAAAATTGCATAGTTTGTCTTAAATAATACCGAAAGAAACCTACTTTCTGCAGTTTTTAGCAAAAAATACTAACCAGAGAACCATCAACATCATTTCAAAACTAATTCGCGCAATTTTTACTTATTGCCAGATTCAATACTAAAGGATTTAAGAAACTTCTTTGTTCGATGAGGCTCACCGATTCTCCACCACAAAAAAAAAATAAATAAATAAATAAATAAATAAATAAATAAAAAATAAAAAATAAAACCAAATCTCAGACTTAAAAAATAGGACATTTGCGCAAGAAAATATGATTATTTAGGATGATATTTAATGTTACGTATCAAATTGTTTTAAGGAATACAGATTATTGCATCGTCAAATAAAGCAACGCTTTGTGTCGGGTTGGTAATAGAACACCAGGGTGCCTGGGTCTAAGGCCCTACGAAATATATTTTACAATGATAAGGCAAAATCCAATGTAAAGTTTTCCAATCCCTACCCCACATTTCAAATTTTTGACGTCATGGAAAAATCGAGTAGTTTCGCCTGGATGGTTATTCTTGAGCATGCGCTGAAGGGCAAGATTGAACCTGACGTAATATTCATACAAGAGACTCACCTTAGACCAGCACTCAAAGTACTTTATGCTAATTATAACACCTATCGTACGGATCGTGAATCAGGAAGAGGCGGTGGCATCATCACATTTGTTAAAAGGAGCATAAAACACTCCCAAATTCCAAATCCCAACAAAATTTTCGAAAGTAACACAAGAAATTGCAACAGAACACAAAAAATTCAAAATTTCTAATATATACATCCCACCAAATAATAATCCCAGCACACAAGAATTGATTCACCTCCTTAATGCTAAACACTCCTTCAACGCCAAACACTCCTGCTGGAACCAAGGACCTGCTAACAAAAAAGGAAATTACATATTTAAACTCATTCAATCAAATAATTATAATATTCATGCCCCAGACGAGCCCACCCATTACGGGTACAATAGCGCCAACACAATTCTTCATCTCAAATAACATTACTAACAGATGCAATATCTCTGTAATTCAAGCCCTCTCTTCCGACCACAACCCCATTGCATTTGAAATCCCTACTAAAAAATACCTCTCCTCACTTGACAGAAGTATAGGAGTTACAAATTGGATCAAATACTCTGAAATTCTGAATAACTCCCTACAAGGAAACCCATGCATCAACAATAAAAAAGATTTAGAACATGAAGTCTCCAAATTTACCAACTGCATCAATTCTGCTTTAAAAGAAGCGACCAATACTTTTTATGTGAACAAGCCTTTCCTCCGCTGCCTGCCGATATAAGAAATAGTATTAAAGAGAAAAACCGGATCCGTAAAAGATGGCAAAACACGAGGGAGGTTCACAACTCAAACTATGCAAAGAACTTAACTCTATGCAAAAAGAAATCAACAGAAGAATCAAGAACTCCAAAAACCAAAAATGGACCAATTTCCTAAATAACCTAGCTATAGAAGACAATTCCCTATTTGACATTTCCCGCAAATTCAAGAAACCTTATAAACTTATCCCACCTAGCCATGGACCTAGTGGAATTTTATATGCAGAAGAAGATAAAGCTAAATCTTTTGCGAACTATATGGAAGATATATTCACTCCGTACGACAATCAGTGGCGTAAATAAGGGTATGCAAGGAATGCCGTCGCATAGGGGCCAATTAAATGTCCTGCTGAACTACATTCCATTATATATATATAAAGAAGGTTTAATTCATTTCCCCTTGATGAGTTCGGAATTAGAATTTCAATAAAAGAAAATTAACTATTATTTTTATATTTTTTATCTTGTATTTTTTTTTCCCTTATGCTTTTCATTTTTATGTTTAGAATTTGTACTACTATAAATTCTTATTTTAATTTTGATATGTTTTGATTTTGTGTTAAACCCTTTTTACACGATTGTTAATATTAATATAGTTGAGGAATAGTCTTGATTTGACTCCAATTTACTTTTAACTTTAGAATCTTTAGAGTATATGTAGATAATAGAATTCGTTTTCTTTTAAGTTTTTAAGTTCCCCCTACCTATATGGTGCCGTAACGCAATTCTCTGTATGGACGCAGATAGGAGGCCCTTGGAAGCACCTGAAATAGCTAAATTCAAGTGTTTGCAAAAGTTAAAATTCCAGCATTCGACTATGAAATAATAACTTCATGACCTACCCCAGTTTAGGGAATAGCAGTGAGACTGAAAATAGGAAAAGTTTCTTTGTATTCCTTAGTCTCAAACCTGAAAATTATTAAAGGCGACCCCCTAAAGGAAAGGTTTCTCTTTTTGCAATCCCAAATCAAAAAGTGGCGGAAAGTGGAAATTAATGTAACTATTTATTATAAAGTACTTATTTTATATATTAATTTGTTTCTGCATAATTCGCATTATGATCGAATAATCAGTAGACATATTTTCTAAGTATAAATCAAAGAAGTAACTAGGCAGGATTTTGGTACTTTGAAATGAACTTTGCAAGTTAAGAGAAATCGTGGTGTATTATTTGCAGTTCGTAATTTTCATAATATGTCATTACGTAGCGTTTAATTTTGTTCATATAGTGAATCTCTTACTAGCTTTTACATTAAACGCAAGTCTAAAAATCAGTCCTAATATTCAATTTGAAATTGAATTTATTAATGTGAATGATTCTTAGAATTTAATATGACATGTATTTCGTTGGTTCGCTATAAACGGCGTATCACTTTTCAAATTGTTTCCATCAAACTGTTGCCATAAATAACCTCACCTCAACCTGTATTATTTTTAAAGAAATTAAATAAGGAAGAATCTGCATGTTTGAATGTATAGTTCTCACAATGTATGAAACGATGGTACTTGCAACTTAAACAGTCGCACCAAGAGGCAAGAAACATTTTGAATTTAGAAGCACGATTGACATTACAAAATGGAGGATCGAGTTAAGTTAAAGTTAAAGGCGGATCGATTTTTTTCCTCTGTTTTTTACATTAATAAGCTGGAGTGGAGAATCATTCGTAAGTATCAATTGATAACTCCAGAATACATGCTTTTCTTTCTTAAGCACAGAAAATCATTAACGTAAGTTGAGCAGTTGTAGCATGAAAGGACTTTGCCCCACTCCCATGTCGAAATGCTGTTCTAAGGAAACGCTAAGAATTTATGACACCACATTTGGAAAGGAGAGATTTCCCGTTCGGCTTAGGGATCTTTGAATGAATTCAAGGTCCGAAAAAAAGAAGGAAAGTTTTACGACAGGCTACGAACACACAGATGCTCAAACATTAAGCGGCCAAATATTTCAGTTAATTTCCGGCGTAAATTTAATGAAATTTTTTTTCATTAAATTTATCGAAATTCATTACTTTTTCACTCATGGGGATAGGAAATGGGAATGGATGAATATTTTTACTTGAAATAATGAGTAAATAAATATTTATCCAATTTTTCATATCAAAATTTTCAAAATATTCGCACATTGCAGATAAAATGCAGGTTAGGAATTCTTTCAAATCCCTAATCGAGAATTAAATCTGAAAGCACTGTTAAGGAATATTCTTTGATATCGCCAAGAGATGGCGTTAGGAGTCCATCTATTGGCTTACTTGACCTTTCCCCTTCTGAACACGTGACTTGAAAAAATATTCTTCTTCTTGAAGGTAGAATTTCGATGCACTGCGCAATAGAATTCGATTTAGATTCAAACTGGAACTATTCCGTTCTTGCCTTTTGAGCATTAAATATTCGATTCAGGCATTCTAGCCTACATTGTATATATGTAAATATTAAGTTTAATTAAAATTTATGGAAAACCCTCCAGGCCATGCATCTCGTCTTTTGGATTATGAGTGATTCGACTTTGATCTAGAACATTCGTTACATAATGGTGCATCGGCCGGGAAAGAATCTGATTAATTTGAAAATTTGGAATTTTTTGCCTTTTGGATTAGCTTTGTAAGCGAAGACTTCTCACGGTAAGTCTCCTTTGATAATTTATTAAAATCGAACAGAAGACACTAATTAAGAATCGAGCACATATACGTGCTTCTGTAACTCAAATTATTAAAAATGTAGATGAATATTTAAAAGAACAAAAACAAGAAGAGTTAGAAAATTGTTTGGAATTGTTAAATAGTAAAGAAACGGAACTACATGATTTAAATGAAAAAATACAAAATTTGATTGAAGATGAATCAAAATTAGATTCAGATATTAACACTTCTATGGAATATAACGATAAAATAATAATAGCGAAGTCTAAAATCAACCGTTATTTAAGGAAATACAATACTCAAAATATCAACACGAATTTAAATAATTCATCTACAGAAGTTGAAACCAAAAGACAGATTGAAGGCAATGTGAAATTGCCCAAACTGTTAATTCACAAATTTTCCGGAGACTATAACGATTGAATGAATTTTTGGAATTCATTCAAGGTCACTATTCATGACAATGTTACACTTTCGAAGATAGAAAAATTTAATTATTTGAGAACTTATTTATGTGGAAACGCAGCATCAGCCATAGAAGGTCTCTCAATCTCAGAGGCTAATTATGACTCTGCTATAGACATTCTTAAAAAAAATAGATTCGGTCAAAGTGACCTTATTATCAATACACACATTTCTAATCTCTTAAATTTAAATCCCGTTCAAAGTTCAAGTGAAGTGGCAAAATTGCGAAAACTTTATGATACAATTAACGTTCAAGTCAGAAGCCTTTTAGCATTCGGTGTGAAACCAGAAACATATTCCAACATGTTTATTCCAATTTTGATGAAAATTGTCCCGAACGATATAACTTTAGAATTTCATTGTACAAATACTGAAAATCCTTCAATCTATGATTTAAACAAATTTCTAGACTTTCTCCGATTAGAAATAGAATCGCGAGAAAAGATTAATTCGTTATCCTTTCCACGCAAATCAAACCCGGAAATGAAAGGTATTAACAGATATCCACCGACGCCGAAACATAAACAAACTGTCACCACACATGAATTTATGGCAGCCGCGTCATCAAATGGAAACTGCATTTTTTGTTTTCAAAACCATGACTCAGAGTCCTGTTTATGCCTTACAGTTAATGAGAAGAG